CCCAGGTGCTTGGGCCCTGCACCCCATGGGAGACCAGGAAAAGCACCTGGCTCCTGGCTCCTGCCATCGGATCAGCGCGGTGCGCCGGTCGCAACGCGCCGGCCGCGGCGGCCATTGGAGGGTGAACCAACGGCAAAGGAAGACCTTTCTCTCTGTCTCTCTCTCTCACTGTCCACTCTGCCTGTCAAAAAAAAAAAAAAAAATCTCTCTGTGTGTCACTCTGCCTTCCAAATAAATAGATCTTTTTTAAAAATTACATTAAGGAGGTGACGTAACACGGCATAGTGGGTAAAGTCGCTGCTTGCAGTGCCGGCATCCCATTTGGGTGCAGGTTCGAGACCTGGCTGCTCCACTCCCGATCCAGCTCTCTGCTGTGGCCTGGGAAAGCAGTGGAAGATGACCCAAGTCCTTGGGCTCCAGCACCCACGTGGGAGACCCGGAAGAAGCTCCCGGCTCCTGGCTTTGGATCGGCGCAGCTCCAGCTGTTGTGGCCAACTGGGGAATGAACCAGTGGATGGAAGACCTCTCTCTCTATCTGTAACTCTGCCTTTCAAATAAATACATTTTTTTAAAATACAAATTACATTAATATGATATAAAATACTATAAAATGGTTACTTCTTTTTTAAAAGATTTACTTATTTGAAAGTCAAAGTGAAAGAGAGAGGGACAGACAGAGCGACAGAGACAGAGAGAGCAATCTTCCATCTGCTGGTTCATTCCCCAAAAGCCTGCAACAGCCATGAGAGTCTATATCATGAGAATTTAACGCAATAAAAATAAAGGGGAGAAGCTCAAATAAGGTAAAAGTGCTCCGACAGCCTAGGCTTTGAGTGACTTCAAACACTCGTGCTGCACAGCTCATGAGGAATTGAAGAGAAAACGGAAGTTCGGCCGCTGGCGGTCTCGAACCAGTACTCCGGGAAGGAGGGGCGGGACGGGGGCGGGGTCAGGGGCTGTGGGCCCGCCCCCGCTGCCGTCAAGCGGCTCCGGCGCGTTTTGCGACAGTCGGCAGGGAGCCGGGTGTTGTAGCGGGCCCGCTTTCCGGCGGGTGCGCGGGCCGCGCGCTGCCGCTGCAGGCGGTCGGCGACCCCTGCCCTGCCCCTCACTGCGGCCCCGGCTTCGGAGCTCGCTTGCGTCTCCTCCTTAGCGAGAGAGCGGGGGCGGGCGCTGCACTGGCCTGACCACGAAGTGACCTTGGTCGAACCACCTGTGCGCGAGCCAATCAGAGCCCCTTCTCTGAAGCAATTGAGGACCCAGACCCCCTCCCCCCCAGAGCGGCCCCACGGGCTTGCACCGTGGCCGGGGGAGCGTCGGGCCGCTGGGGGCGGCGGGGGCGGGCCGGCCGAGGGAGATGCCCTTGCACGTGAAATGGCCGTTCCCAGCAGTGCCGCGGCTCACCTGGACCCTGGCCAGCAGTGTCGTCATGGGCCTGGTGGGCACCTACAGCTGCTTCTGGACTAGTGAGTGGGCCCGAGGCTGCGGCCGGGTCTGTCTCGGGTTCCCATGCCCGGCCAGAGTTGGGGGTGTGGGGGCGCTGGCAGGGTGCTAGCCTTGGGCCTAGTGGGAAGAGGGGGGCTGACATCGTCCTGTCCCCCCAGAGTACATGAACCACCTCACCGTGCACAACAAGGAGGTGCTGTACGAGCTCATCGAGAACAGAGGGCCTGCCACGCCCCTCATCACCGTCTCCAATCACCAGTCCTGCATGGATGACCCTCATCTCTGGGGTACCCGACCAGTGGGCTGGGCGTGGAGAGGCTGGGACTGACTGGCACCATGGTCCCGTCAGGACCTCCCAGGGAGCATGATTTAGCGAGGGCTTCAGAGATTTCGAAGGAATGAGGAAACAGCCACAGAGCAAGGTCCAGCGGTTTCTTTACTCTGACGTCATGGCCTTTGGAGCCGTCTGTTCTCTCTGCTGGTGAAAGTCCGGCAGGTTCTTGGGAGTACTCACCTCAGGGAATCCTGTCAGGGAAGCTGCAGCCTAGGGGCTGTAGGCCCTTTGTCCTGGTTCCAGGTTGCCCCTGGCTGAGTTTGTACCCTTCAGCCAGCCCCCATTTGGGATTCCACTTGCCGCACCTAGAAGCACCTGCTTTGCTGACTTCACGGGAGGTTGCTCATCTCCAGAAGTGGGGTGGCGGGGGAGGGAGGGCGAGGTTGCCCAGGACCTGCATGGCTGAAGTGGAGTCCATGTGGAGCCCCCTGGTCGGGTTAGAGCTCACTCCGGCCTCCAGGTGGAGAATGGCGTGTGGGATGCCACAGGGGGATCATAGGCGGCCCCGGAGGAGGCCTTGCTGCTGCCCTGCAGCCTGGGCTGGGCTGGTGGCTGTGGTGGTGAAGCGGGAGGCGCAGAGTGGGTATTGTCCGAATGCAGACTAGACACAAGCATTAGTGAGATGTGCGGAGTGGCCGAAGAGGAAGGAGCTGGGGGGCCTTTGGGGGTCCAACCCAAGGATTGGAGAGCGTCACTTTGGGCTGTAGGGAAGTGGTCGTGCTGCGGCATTTGTCCTCTCTCCCTGCAATGACCTGACACAGATAGGCACTCCCTGGGGAAAAGGGACGTGCGAGTGCGAAGGCTTTCCTCTCCTTCTCCAGGGATCCTGAAACTCCAGCACATCTGGAACCTGAAGCTGATGCGTTGGTGAGGAGGAAGGGGCCCCTTGCGCCGAGCCCAGCAGGCCCCACTCGTCTGCCCACGGCTGCCCTCTTGCTCTGCCCAGGAGGCAGCGTGAGCAGTCAGGCGGGGCCTGGGGTGGGGCCCTGCAGGCTCTCCTCCGGGGTCTTTGTTCAGCATGCCCATGTGCTGGGGCTGGTGGGGTGGGCAGGTGCTGGGAGGCAGGGGTGACTGCATCTGTCCCCGCTGCAGGACCCCTGCGGCTGCAGACATCTGCTTCACTAAGGAGCTGCACTCCCGCTTCTTCAGCCTGGGCAAGTGTGTGCCTGTGTGCCGAGGTGAGCTGCCCCTCCTGGAGGCGCTTCTGCCGAGCTGTCCAGGCCTCCCTGGGGGCAGGGAGGCCAGAGGCCCAGGCCTTTGTTGTAGAGAGCCCCGTATGTGAGAGGCGGCCTGGGAGGCAGGAGAACCACTGGGTGACCGCCAGAGGTAGTGCAGGCTGCTGGCAGACAGATGGCTTCCTGGTGAGCCCTCGGTTCTCTGCCCCAGTTCAAGGGTGGTCCGGACCCAGAGCTCTGGCACGGGAATTCCAGGAAGCCTTAGGCACAGCCCTTCTCCCAGGAAAGTAGCTGAGAGACTTGTGGTGCCCAGTTGTCATCAGTGACAGTGGTAGCATGTGTCACAGAGTTGGCTTTCTGGGGAAACAGACAGGCTTGTGGAGTGAGTGGGTCTGAGACTGACCGCTCCGAGAGAGAGGGAGGGAGGGAGGGAGGAGTCCACGGTGGCATTTCCAGGCACCGTGGGAGGGGGACGCCACCGAGTTGGCAGGAGGCAGTTGTCGCAGAGGAAAGGAGCAAACTCGGATGTGTGGCAGCACGGAAGCTGCTGCTGAGCCCCCAGGAGCCTTCCCATGCGGTGAGAGTCGCAAGAGTGAGCTGTCGTCGCCTTGGAGGGCAGGGCGGCCTCTCCTCGCAGACACGGTTTCTCTTCCTGCCACCGTGTGGAAGGCTGTGGCCCGTTTGCCCTGTCCTGCTCTGAGAGGGGGGACTTGGACATTGACCACCCCCCCCCATCCCTAAGTCTCCCTTCCTCCGGGCAGCACCCTCACAGACCTCCCCTGGCTACTTCTGTTTGTATCTTGTTTTTCTCTTTGCTCTGTATCTAGGCTTTATTGTCTAATTAAAGACAGAAGTGGGCTCTTCATTCCAGCACCTGTAGTCAGAGAAGGGGCAGGGAGCAGTTATTTCTGACTCATTTGCTGTGTAGCGAAGATCTGGTTACACAGGTTTCAAGCAAAGGCAGTGTGTGGCACACTTGGCTTCTGTGCCCCCCCCCCAATTTCCCTTTTTCCCCAAGCATAGACATTATGTGATTGTTAAGTATTAGTGATTTTACACAAGAGAGAAGAATAGCATTCGCAAGGGCCCTGTATTGTGGCACAGCACTTTAAGCCATGGGTTAAGCCACTGCCTGCAGCACTGGCATCCCACATGAGTGCCGGTTCAAGTCTTGGTTGCTCTGCTTCTGATCCAGCTCCTTGCTAGTGTGTCTGGGAAGGCAGTGGATGATGGCTCCAGTACTTGGGACTGTGCCACCCACGTGGGAGACCGGGATGGAGTTCCAGGCTTCTGGTTTCGGTGTGGCCTAGCCCTGGCCGTTGCAGCCATCTAGGGAGTGAAGCAATGACTGGAAGATCTTTCTATCTCTCCCTCATTCTCTAACTCTGCCTTTCAAACAAATAGAAAGAAAGGAAGGAAGAACATTCACAAAACGTAGAAATTATGAAGTATGTCTCCAAGTTTTTAAGGATTATTTATCTATTTCAGAGGCAGAGATTCAGAGAGAGAGGCGAGACAGATCTATCTTCCATCCACTGGTTCATTCCTCACATGGCCGGGATGGCTGAATCTGGGCCTATGTGAAGCCAGGAGCCAGGAGCCTCCTGCAAATCTCCCACGTGGGTGCAGGGGCCCAAGGACTTGGGCCATCATCCTCTGCTTTCCCAGGCCACAACAGAGAGCTGGATCAGAAGAGGAGCAGCCAGGACTAGAACTGGCACCTATATGAGATGCAGACTCCACAGGCGGAGGCTTAACTTATCACGCCACAGTATTAGCCCCCATATCTCCAATTCTTTTAAACCCTCATTTCAAGTGGGTTTCGCAGAGAAGGATCAATACCTATGAGGGCCACACCTACTATATGCTGTGATCCCAAATGAGGAAGCCGCTGCTCTTACCGTGTCCCGAGAAGGCTCTGGCTCCCCACCATTTTCCCTGAGTGAGTTGTCAGATCAGGTCCCTGTTTGGGTTGGCTTGGGACTCCTGGATCCCTAACTAGGACTTTACAAAGAATCAGCATGGCAGAGAACAGGTTAAAAGTCCCTTTCTTAGTGCATTAGTTGCAATGTCTGTGTGAGACGGGGCTTCTTCACTTGTCACCTTATGAGGATACCTACTCTGCCCCGTTTCTTCAGCCTCTCCCTCGGCCTCTCTTCTGTTTCTGTCCATGTGTGGGTACCTTTCCATCTGTGAGGTCATGATTGTGCACTTACTGTGAGCGAACGCCGCGTGTGAGGCATTTCCTTCTCTTGGGGCCAGTGCCATGGTCACAGGGTTCCCCAGGGTGGGAGGTTGCTGGCTCCAAGGGCAGCTCAACTCCCCTTTCTTCAGTCTAGCCAGTTTCGGTTTTTCCCAAGCTCTTGATGATGCCATGTGTTTCGCTGTCTGTCCTCCCTTTCCCAAGAGACCTCCCCAGAGGAGGATCTGGTTTTCAGGGGTGCCTGTGAAGAGTGGCTTGGGGAAGTGGCCGAGACCCCAGGCAAGGGTTGCTGCCTAGGTTCTGGGGCCTGAGTGAATGCACTTGGTTTGATCTAGCAGTGCTGTCAAGGGCAGGGATCATGCACAGGAGGGTCACCCTCGGGGTGGTGCATCCGAGAGGAAGGAGGACTCTGAGAGCAGTAGAGTGGCAACTGTGGGCCTGGCTGGGGAGAGAGGACCTGGGAATCTGGGGGTATGTGACAGGATGGATGATACGTGGGTGTATGTGGGTGAGCCGGTGAGACAGTCAGACGCAGGGAGAAGAACTTCAGTAGGAGATGGTTAGAGATGACGGTACCTTGTGTGTGACGGGTACTTCAAGGTTTTTCAAATTAAAAAAAAAAGGCATTTGAGAAGCAGAGAGACAGAGAGCTCCCATTTGCTGGTTCACTCCCCACATGCCTGCGGTGGCCCAGCCAGGGTGGAGCTGGGAGCTGGGGACTCAGTCCAGGAACTCAGTCACTTGAGTCGTCGCTGCTGCCCCCCAGAATCTGCAGTGGCAGGAAGCTAGAGTGAGGGGCCAGACTCTGTCAGTCTCACAGCGAGGCAGTCTGATACGGGACACGGCGACTTAGCCTGTGTGTTAGCTGCTAGGCCAAACGCCCGCCCTCACTTGGAGGTTCAGAGCATGTTGTTGAGCCAAGGACGTCAAGGGTCACAGTGGGTGGGACACAGAGCCAGCCCTGGAGGCAGCCACTGGCAGACGCCGACGTGCACGGCACAGTGAGGGGGCCGAGAATGGGACTGATGGTGACAGGCCTCTTCTCCGCAGGAGATGGCGTCTACCAGAAGGGGATGGACTTTATTTTGGAGAAGCTCAACCACGGGGACTGGGTGCACATCTTCCCGGAAGGTCAGCAGGGCTGGCTGGGTTGAGGCCCGCCCCTCCTCAGTGTGGGCAGGACCAGCCACCAGGACTTGTCTCTGCACTCTCTCACCAGGGAAAGTGAACATGAGCTCCGAGTTCCTGCGTTTCAAGTGGGGTAAGGGCTGTGGGCCCTGGCCGTGGCCATCCTTCTGGCCCGAGATGGCCTTGAGGCTCCTGGTTCCTAGCCTCTGGCTGGATGTGTTGGGGCCAGCAAGAAGGGGACAGGTGCCAAGACAAGGACCAGCCCACGGGAAGTGGTTTTAACTGGGGGCCAGCAGGATGGCAGTGGCTGGAGACTGCCGTGGAAGCTTGTCCCCACTCATGCTAATGTGTCTGCCCCTCCCCCGGTCAGGAATCGGGCGGCTGATTGCCGAGTGTCATCTGAACCCCATCATCCTGCCGCTGTGGCATGTTGGTGAGCCGGGAGCGGGCAGGAGAGGGACTGCCCTCAGCGGTGTTTGGGAGGGTGCCAGTGTATGGCGGGGAGGGCTCCCTCTGGTCCCAGGGCACCCTGCTGCACCCCATGTCTGGCCTCTATCCACTGTGCTGCAGGAATGAACGACGTCCTCCCTAACAGCCCACCCTACTTCCCCCGCTTCGGACAGGTAAGTAGGGACTGCTGACCTTCTGTGTGTCTTTGTCTGCCTATCCGCCATCTGCCCTGGGCCCCCACTCAGCACCACACAGCTCGCGTCGGGAGGAGCTGAACTTAGGCTTCAGCAAGGTTACCGAGTGGGCCATAGACAGGGACTTCCTGGCAGAGGGCAGAGGAAATGAGGCTGGGGCAGGTGTGGGCTCTGGGGCCCAGATAGGAGAGGTTAACTGCAGGATGGATCCCCGGAGTAGGCTGGCCTGGATGCCATTGAGCCCAGCAGCGCCCTGGAAAGAGGAAGTGTGGCTGCGAAGGAGATGCAGCATGTCGAGGCCAGGTCTTGCTTCTGGGTCCCCAGATCGTTTGGGCTGGGGCTGCAGACACTCGGCCTGCTCCTTGTCATCCACAGAAAATCACCGTGCTGATTGGGAAGCCCTTCAGCGCACTGCCTGTGCTTGAGCGGCTCAGGGCAGAGAACAAGTCAGCAGTGAGTTTCCTCCCGTAGCTGTCCTCAGCCCTCCCAAGCCCCTTGGTCTCACACGGCGCCTTGGCCAAGCTCCCTCAGGGGTGCGGGCCGACCGTGTCCTTGTCATCAGGTGGAGATGCGCAAAGCCCTCACCGACTTCATTCAGGAGGAATTCCAGCGCCTGAAGACCCAGGCGGAGCAGCTCCACAACCACCTCCAGCCTGGAAGATAGGCCCTGCCTGTCCGGGCCCTGGTCCTGGATTCCTCTCAGGCCTGAGGAGCAGCTGGGTCTCCCACGTCTCGGGAAGAGGCAGTAGGGGGACCCCTGCCCCAGTCCACTTGGCTCTCAGTGCTGCCTTTTGGATTTTCCCCCCGCGGCTGGAGCGGATGAATGGGTTGATGCTTTTAGCTCAATGTGGCTTTTAGGCAGATTGGTTTGTAACCCTACCGGGTGCCCCTCTGGTTAAAGGAAGGGCCTCAGCTGCTCCTCCCACGTGGCTGAGAAGGGAGGAAGAGGCCTCCTTCCTTCTCGCGTTCAGATGCTCTCTTCCGGTGCTTGCATCAGGAGGGAGCGCAGCATGCCAGTGGACAAGCAGTTGTGTGGGGAGTGGGTGGCCCATAAGGCCCCTCGGCCTAGCTCCTGTCCGCCCGCCCTGAACTGATCTGGGAGCTGCTCACTACCTCTTCAGGGATGGTTGTCAGACATGTCTTCTTCCTGCCCAGGCTTCCCCCCACCTGCAGGGCCTGGCCCTGGACAGGGCCCGGCCTCAGGTGGGCTGCAGGCAGAAAGAACAACCCTTTGCCAAAGGGAGCCTGCAGCGAGGGCCTGACATCTGTCCGCTCGTCTCCACGCCAGGACCCATGGCTTCTCCATCCTTTCTGCCCCCTGGCATCACTTGTGTCCTGGGGCCTGGGTTTCCACATTTGTAAGACAATAAAGCAACTGTATTGTGCTGTTGTGCCTATAGCCTCTCTGTAAGGGACAGGGGAGGGAGGTGACCAGCTAGGCCTTAGCGCCCTGGACATGGCGAGAGCTCTTGAGCAGATGGCCATTGAACTCTCACGGTGTGCTGGTTTCTTACAGTGTCACTTGTTGTCTGTAGTCCCCATCACAACCTTCCCTAAGTAGGCATTAATCTCATTTCGAGAAGGGGACAAGCAAGGGTAAGAAACTTGCTTCAAAACCCAAAGATAGTTAGGGGTAGGTGTGTGACAGAGTGGTCAGCACGCTGCTTGGGCTGCCCACATGCCATGGTACAGGGCCTGGGCTTGAGTTCTGGCCCTGGATTCTGATGTGGCTTTGGCTGATGTGCACCCTGTGAGGCAGTAGTGATGACTCAAGTACTTGGGTCTCCATCCTCCATGTGGAACACCTGGATGGAGTTCCCAGCTCCTGGCTCAGCCCTGGCTGTTGTGGGTATTTGGGGAGTGAATCAGCAGATGGGAAACAGTCAGTCTCCTCCCCCCAGCCCCCGCTCCTGCCCTGCCCACCCTCCCTCGCTTTCCAAAGAATTAAAACAAAAACAAGCAAAGCTAACCAGATAGGTTGGGGCCATAGTCCAGAGAGCCCTCAGTGTGATGAATCAATTCAATCCTGTGCTGGTTCACAGGGTGGGACCTCCTGAAAGGTCCAGGGAACTGCTGGCCATGAGCTGTGATTAGGAGGTGGCAAGGGGACACGCAGGTTGAGCTGGGGACCCCGGATGGGAGCAGATGGATCCAGGGTAGCTGAGGTGGAATGAGAAGGCCATGCCAAGATGGCTGCTGGCAACAGAAACCGCGTGGCAACAGGTTGTGATTGGATGGCTTTGGAAACCACATGACAACGGAGCCTGACTGGCAACAGGCTGTGATTGGATGGCTTTGGAAAGTGCTGGGCTACAGGCTGTGATTGGTTATGGCATAGACCACCCCTTGACCAGATTGGCTGCCTTGGCTATTTAAGCTGCTGTAGCGACTGCGGGCTGCTCGCCTCTGGCCTGCTTTCACCCGACTCCCAGTGTCTGTGTGGTGACTCCGTGCCTCTTGCCCCCACTGCACTCCTCCTCTCAGAATGAATCCACCGCAACAGGTGGCCATGTCTTGGAATTCCAGAAGTGAAAGGGAACCCTTTCTAGAGAAAAGCATGCTTGGATCAGATCCTCAGTTTGTCCATAGGTTCAGATCGACCAAAAAGAACTCATGAGATCATTAAACATACAGAAAAGTGAATCACTGTATTTCTGTCAGCAGAAACAAGGACAGCATGGGTACCTCCAACACTGACAGGGTCACACACATTATTAATACTGTAGCAGAAACTTGGGAAGAAATAAGAGGTGGGATCGTGGAAATGAGCCAGCAACAATGGAATAGTCAGCCAGGACTGCAGGTCCATCCACTTCAAAATAAAGGTTTTATAAAAATGACCAAAACAGAAAAAAATCACTTGGGGAAAAAAACACACTCTATGTAATACACTGTAAGTCCAAGTGTATCAACCCATCGTGTATCTATGAACATGAACAAACATCGACTATGTTTCATGAAGTTTTAATTTTACACTCTGTTCCATTCTTTCATGTTCTTGTACTTTTCTTACTAGTGTCCATAAATATTTTTAGGATTTTTATGTATTTGAAATGCGGAACAATAAGGAGAGAGGTCTCTCATCCACTGGTACCTACTCCAAATGCCCGTAACAGCCAGGGCCAAAGCCCGGAGCCAGGAACTCAATCCAGATATCCCACATGGGTGGCAGGGACCCAAGTAGTTGAGCCCCCACTTGTTGCCTCCCAGAGTGCACATTCGCAGGATGGACCCTGGCACTCCCATATGGGATGTAGGTGTCCTGAGCGGGAACGTAAGTGTTGCCCCAAATGCCTGACTACCCAGAAATATTGTATAAATATTGTTTTGCAGGTTTTTAAACTTTAGATAAGTATTGTATAGGTGATTCCACAATTTGATGGTTTTTTTTAAATGAAACTTTTGATTTATTAATGGCGATTTGTAAGACATTAATCCAAAGAAAATGACTAGAGATACAAACAAAACTCTTCAAGGGTACATACACATAATTTACAATGGCAAAAAATTGAAACTACTTTCCAACAAGTCCCTCCGTCATTTAACAAATATTTGTTGACAGTGTGCCAGACACTAGAGACACAGCAGTAAACAAACTACCTGCCCTCACTGGTGCTCACAGTCTAGTAGGGGCTGAAGGACAAGATATAAACAATAAAGTAAGTGCATAAAATATTGCGCAGTTTACATTTCAATATAGACCATGAAGAAAAATTAAGCAGGAAGGGAGGGAGGGAGGCAGGGGTGGGGAACATCATGGGCCGTGTAAGGCCTGTGAAATCACTGGGTCTGGCCCTGCCAAGGCAACCACAGGCAGGAGTTGAAATTCACTAAGTCCCGGGGCCGGCGCTGTGGTGTAAAGGGTAAAGCCACTGGCTGTAGTGCCGGCGTCCTATATGGGCGCCAGCTCGAGTTCTGGCTGCTCCACTTCCAATCCAGCTCTCTGCTATGGCCTGGGAAAGCAGTAGAAAATGGCCCAAGTGCTTGGGCCCCTGCACCCACATGGGAGACCCGGAAGAAGCTCCTGGCTCCTGGCATCGGATTGGTGCAGCTCCGGCTGTTGTGGCTAATTGGGGAGTGAAACAACAGATGGAAGACCTTTCTCTCTCTCTCTCTGCCTCTCCTCTCTGTGTAACTCTACCTTTCAAATAAATAAACAAGTATTAAAAAAAGAATCCATTGTCTAATACTAAAGTCAGGAAGATCTATCCCTATGTTTTCTTCCAGTTAAAAAAATTCACTAAGTCTCTAGCAGGCTAATTTATAAGTTGATCATTTTATATGGCCCACGAAGGAAGTTCTATCCAAATGGCCTTTGGCAGAAAACAAGTTCCCTGCCCTAGACTACAGAAGGTCAGGAAAAGTTGAAGGTGGTATTGTTTTTAAATTGCTTTGGTGATTATGTAAAAATATTTGATTCTAAATATAATTTAAGACCATAGGGGCTGGCGCCATGGCTCACTATGCTAATCCTCCGCCTGCAGCACCGGCACACCGGGTTCTAGTCCCGGTCGGGGTGCCGGATTCTGTCCCGGTTGCCCCTCTTCCAGGCCAGCTCTCTGCTGTGGCCAGGGAGTGCAGTGGAGGATGGCCCAAGTGCTTGGGCCCTGCACCCCATGGGAGACCAGGAGAAGCACTTGGCTCCTGGCTTCGGATCAGCGCGATGCGCCGGCCGCAGCGCGCCAGCCGCGGCAGCCATTGGAGGGTGATCCAACGGCAAAGGAAGACCTTTCTGTCTCTCTCTCTCACTATCCACTCTGCCTGTCAAAAAATTAAAAAAAAAAAAAAAGACCATAGGATTCCATAGACCTTAAAAAGTTCAAGCTGCGGTGGGTGTTTGGCACACTGGTTGATGCTGCTTGGGATGCCTGCATCTCATATGGGAGTGCCTAGGTTTGAGTTCCAGGTTTCCTGATTGCAACTTCCTGCTAATGTGCACCCTGGGAGGCCGCAGGTGATGGCTCAAGGAGCTGCGTATCTGCTACTCACCTGGGAAGCCTGAAGGATTTCCCAGCTCCTGGCTTCGGTGAGGCCCAGTTCCAGCTGTTGCAGGCATTTGGGAAGTGAACCAGGAGAGGGGAGATCTCTCCCTGTCTGTTTCTCTGTCTTTCAAATAAAATAGATTTTAAAAAAGTGTAAAGGCCAAACTGACAGCCATTCACAGTCTGTCCCTATTATAAACATTAATGTGAATTTTTTTATTTGAAAAGCGGAGAAACAGAGATTCTCCATCTGCTGCTTCACTCCTCAAATGCCCAAAATGGCCGGGGCTAGGACAGGCTAAAGCCAGAGCTTGCAGCTCCATCGCGGTCTCCCGCATGGGTAGCAGGGATTGGACCCAAGGTACGCATTAGCAGGAAGCTGCATTGGAAGAGGAATAGCCGGACTTGAAGCAGGCACTCAGATACGGGATGTGGGTGTCTTTGTTTAAAATATTTTATTTATTTATTTGAGAGGTAGAGTTACAGACAGTGAGAGGGAGAGACAGAGAGAGAGGTCTTCTGTCTGTAGGTTCACTCCCCACATGGTAACAATGGATAGAGCTGTGCCGATCCAATGCCAGGAACCAGGAGCTTCTTCCTAGTCTCCCACGCAGGTGCAGGGGCCCAAGGACTTGGGCCATCTTCCACTGCTTTCCCAGGCCATAGCAGAGAGCTGAATCAGAAGTGGAGCAGCCGGGACTCAAATTGGTGCTCATAAGGGATGCCAGCGCAGGATTAACCTACTGTGCCAAGGCACTGGTCCCCCAAGTGGTGTCTTTTTTTTTTTTAAAGATTTATTTATTTGTTTGAAAGTCAGAGTTACACAGAGAGAGGAGAGGCAGAGAGAGAGAGAGGTCTTCCATCTGCTGGCTCACTCCCCAAATGGCCGCAATGGCTGGAGCTGGGCTGATCCGAAACCAGGAGCCAGGAGCTTCTTCCGGGTCTCCCACGTGGATTCAGGGGCCCAAGCACTTGGGCCACCTTATGCTGGCTTCTCAGGCCATAAGCAGAAAGCTGGATGAGAAGTGGAGCACCCAGGACAGGAACTGGCGCCATATGGATGCCAGCACCGCAGGTGGAGGCTTAGCACAGTGCTGCCCAAGCCTTATTGTCATTGAGGACCAAGGTTTGTTGTCTGCAATTTCACTGCCATTATTTCCCATGTTTTTACAATAGATATTTTCCTCTTCCCTCAAAAGAGATTTCTTTAAATTCTTATTTATTTATTTATTTGCAAGACAGAGAGACAAAGACAGTGAATCAAAGAGATAGAAAGAGAGAAAAACATACAGAGAGGGGCTGGCATTGTGGCACTTCTGCTGGGTATGCCTGTGTCCCATATTAGAGTGCCAATTCAAGTCGTGGCTGCTCTGCTTTCCGGTGAGGTAGCAGATGACGGCGGGCGCAGTAACTGGCTTCCTGACACCCACATGGGAAACCTGGATGGAACTTCTGGCTCCTTTGTGGCTTCTGGCTTTTTTTTTTTTTTAAAGATTTGTTTTATTTATTGGAAAGACAGAGTTACATAGAGAGGTAGAGACAGAGAGAGAGGTCTTCCATCCCCTGGCTCACTCCCCAGATGGCTGCAATGGCCAGAGCTGCGCCAATCCGAAGCCAGGAGCCAGGAGCTTCTTCTGGGTCTCCCATGCGGGTGCAGGGGCCCAAGGACTTGGGCCATCTTCCACTGCTTTCCCAGGCCATGGCAGAGAGCTGGATCGGAAGTGGAGCAGCCAGGACTAGAACCAGCGCCCATATGGGATGCTGGCGCTTCAGGCCAGGGCTTTAACCTGCTATGCCACAGTGCTAAGCCCCTGGCTTCTGGCTTTGGCGTAGCCCAGCCCTGGCTGTTGTGGGCATTTGTGGAGTGAACCAGCAGATGGGAACTCTGTGTGTTTCTGTTTCTCTGCCTGTCCAGAAAAAAAAAAAAAGAAAAGAAAAGAAAGAAAAGAAAAAAAAGGCTTGTGATTCTGCCATTAACATTTTAGTATCCATACATCTATCTCTGTACCCACTTTCCATTTTATTTTTGTTTTAAAAAAATGTTTCTAAATTTCTATTATATTTATTTGAAAGAGTGACAGAGAGGGAGGAAGAGACAGAGAGATTTTCCATCTGCTGGCTCACTCCCAAAGGGCTGCAATGGCTGGGACTGGGCCAGGCCAAAGCCAAGAGCCTGGAATTACACCTAAGGCTCTCCCGTGGGTGGCCAGGACACATGTACGTGAACCACCATCTGCTGCCTCAAAGAGTGCACTAGCAGAAAGTTGCATTGCAAATGGAGTGGCCAGGACTCCAACCCAGGCACTTGGATGCCCTGCCCCACAAGTGGCTTTTTAAGCATTAGGCCATTCGCCTCCTCCATCTTTTTTATTTTAGGCATGTTTCAAGGTAAGTGGCAGACACCAGCTCACGTCTTTCTGAATTAATCAGCGTACATATTCTTCAGGAGAGTTCAAGATCTGGTTACAGTTATCCTTTAGTTGGTTTGTAATGGTCACCAGTCCAAGAAATCGAACAACGGCACAGAAAAAGATAAACGTGTCTCCATTCCTTAGAGGTGGTATCTCCCGTTTTCTGAGTGTGACATTATGCCTCCTTCCTTTAAGGCAAACTTGGAGAAAGGGCAGGGTCATAACGTGTCTCCACTAAAGCCACACGGGGCTAGCTCTTGGCAAAGTCACCAGCGTTCATCTTGCCTGATTTTCAGTGGCAGCCGACACTGACAATGTTCGTCAAGATGTCTTTGCCACTTCGCTTCTCCGTGGACTTTCCCCTCCTCTTCATTTTTTGTGATCTCTTTTCTGGACCCTCTATCCATTTCTATCTCCCTGCCTACTGTAGGTGCTGGTGTTCCTCCTCCGGGTACTATCCTGTGCCCTCTTCTTTCTTCAGTCTAAGGGATCGCATTCTCCTCCCACCTGGATCACGCAGGGCACACCTATAATTAAACAGAAAGCACTCTTGCAATTTTTAAGGCAAAGATTAAGATAGGGATGGGTAAACCTGTACAAGTGAGAGTCTTTACAGCCATTCTGCCCCGCCCGGGCCAGAGCGGGTCGAGCTTGTCCCGCCTCCTTTCCCACTCAGGGCTTACGCGCCTGGAGACACGTACAGCCAACCAGTGAAAAGGAGTGGCTGCGAGTGGCATGTGCTTGGCCCAATCACGTGCGGCTGTGGCGAGAAGGCGTAGGCCCAGGCCAATGGCGGCACGGGGCGGAGCTCCGGCGGGAGCACCAGTCACCTGATCCGCGGTGGCCGCAGTCTTCCAGGCACTGGAGGCTGAGGCTATGATGGCGGCAGCGGCTACGGCGGCGGCCCGAATGCGGACGGAGACGCTGCGAGTCCCGGCGCCGTGGCGGGTGCCATGGCTGCCGCTGTTACTGTTGCTGGTGGCGGTGGTGACGGCGGCAGAGCAGCAGGTGCCGCTGGTGCTGTGGTCGAGTGACCGGTGAGCAGGCCGGGCCGGGTGGGCTTCGCTGCGCGCCGCGGCGGTTGAGGCGCCCTCGGCTGAATTCGGGGCTGTCATCTGCGAGGGGCGGCGAGGTCCAGAGGGGGACTGTCCTTCGCTCAAGGGCTCGCAGCATGTCGTTCGGCGACACAGTCTGCGCCCTGCGCATCAAACAGGGCGCCCGTGGGCTTGGTAATCTCAAGCCATGCGCCCCCGCATGACAGCACCTTTTGTGTCCCCTACCAGGGACTTGTGGGCTCCCGCGGCCGACACTCACGAGGGCCACATCACCAGCGACATGCAGCTGTCTACCTACTTAGACCCCGCCCTGGAACTGGGCCCCCGGAATGTGCTGTTGTTCCTGCAGGACAAGGTGTGCTGGCTGCAGTCTGCTCTGCCCCAAGACAATGATGCCCATTTCCCAAAGGAACACTTGGGTGACCTTGTCCCAACTGGAGGGAGGCGTGGCTGGTCTCCTCGGAAGGCCTGTAGGAGAGGCTTGTATGGGAATGGCTGGAGCCAGAGAAACAGCACCGACTTGAATGGAGGCAGCAAGGGGTCAGAGGCCAGATACTTACCAAGTAGCAAGCACTTTAGATGTTATCTGCCATGCTCTAGGTGGTGGGGATTACCATCCCTGGTAATGGATGAGAGCACTGGTGCTGCGAGAAGCCCAAGGTCACATGGCTAAGGGAGGGTAGGTTCCTCATTCTAACTGTAATGATGGTGATAAAGTAACAGGAAAGCCATCACTCATTTAGTGTTTCATAGGCACCGTGCTAAGCCAAGGAAACTAAGGTTTGTCGAGGTTCAGTGATTTGCTGAAGCTCCCTGCTTTACAGAGAACACACTGGTCCCAGCGTGAGGCTGTTAGACTTCTCCCCAGTTTCCGAACGTAAGCAGCTGGTTTGCCTCTTTTCCAAGCAGGAGAAGATTTTAGGGCAGCACAGCAGTGGCATTTGGACAACTGTCAAGCCTCAACTTGTCCCTTCCTTGTCGGGGCCCTGTATGGCTCATTCACCTTGCAGCCTCACCCCATTGCTGTGTGGGCGAGTGGTGGTGGTCATGCTGGCCTGTGTGCCTGCCAGGAGGTGGTAAATAACGTAGTCAGACTAAAATGCAGTCCTAGTTTTACCACTCGCCAGCCTTTGGACACATGAAATGATCTTTGTAAATGAGAGTTCTACATCTGCGGAGCCGTGGGGCATTTGTCCACTCACTCAGTTGCCAAATGCGGAATGTCTTGCTGTGTGCCAAGTATCGTCAGGTGTTGGGGGTGTTGCAGTAGGCAGACTAATCCAAGTCCCTCCCCTCATGAAGCTGACATCCTCGTCGGGGCAACTAGTAAGTCCCAAGTTGGTATATAATATGTCACGGCTACAGTCCTTTTTTCCAATTAGCTTATTTATTTCAAAGACAGAGTTACAGAGTGAGAAGGACACACACACACACACACACACACAGGTCTTCCATCCACTGGTTCAATCCCCAGATGGCTACTATAGTAGTTAATTTTGAAGGCAAAATTTTAAAAAAGACTTATTTCGAGAGAGAAGTCTTCCATATTTTGGTTCACTCCCTAAATGACTGCAATGACTGGAGCTGGGCCAGGCTGAAGCCAGGAGTCAAGAGCTTTCGTCCAGGTCTCCCACGTGGGTGCAGGGACCCAAGGACTTGGGTCATCCTCTGCTGCTTTTCCCAGGCACATTAACAGGGAGCTGGATCAGAAATAGAGCAACTGGGACTTGAACTGGTGCCCATGGGATGCTGGTGTCACAGGCGGTGGCTTTACCCACTACACCACAACGCTGGCCCCTGGGGGCATGTTTTCAAAATCCATGATCAGGCATGGCCTCAAAGAGTAGGTGATATCTGAGTAGAGTCCTCAGTGGAAGGAAGGAGGAAGCCATGTGTCTGCGGGGGAAAGATATTCCTGACAGGGAAACTGTAGGTGCCAGAGTGTAGCCAGGCTGTGAGGTGGCACGGTGTATTGCATGGGGAGGGGCGGTGCCCACCGTTGTAAATGGGGCACAAAGCAGTGGGCCATGTAGAATAGGTAGCGGTCCGATCTCTGGATTGGAGAAAGCGCACTGGCCGCAGCCAGGGTTCTAGGTGGCTAGCTCGGGGAAGGTCCTTGTAGACTGGAGGCTGGGCAGTGTGTATACTAAACAGTGAGACTGATTACGATCACCAGCCCTGGGCCTGACTGCAAACAGCCAGGGGGAGCTGGGGACTGGACTGGAGGGCAGGGCTGGAAGGACAGATGCACTTGAGGCTTCGGTGCTTCGTCCAGCAGGTTCCAGGATCCTTGACTCCGAGCTAAAACCGCTCTCCTTTCCCCTGGCTTCCATCTTGGGGGAGGCATGTGATGAGTGTGCTTGGCTGCGCCTCCCTGCCCCCAGCTTCCCCTTCCCCTCCCCAGTTCCTCTTGTCTGCAGTCGAGGTGGCTGACTGCTACTCCCGAGGTTAGCACAAGTCACCTGACCGCTGACCTCCCAGCCCTGTGACTGCCTTCCGCATCTTCTCGCCTGGCCAAGGGTGCTGGAGGGACGAGAGCAAGCCTTCGGCCCCACCCCCGCCCCCACCCAGTGCCATAGGCCGCAGGTGCAGTTGTGCCTGGGAGACTCGGCCGGCCCTGAGAGTGCACAGCCCCGAGCCCTTGTCGCACAGCCCTGACGCGTGCCTCCTGCTTCCCTGTCAGCTGAGCGTCGAGGACTTCACGGCACATGGCGGTGTGTTTGGAAACAAGCAGGACAGCGCCTTCTCTAACCTGGAGGTGAGCTCCTCTTCCCAGCCCCCGGCCTTGGGGCTCTCCTGCGCCCCCGCCCCAGCACATGGAAACCGAGATTCAGATTGACTTCAGGGGCAGAAGGCCTGGGGGCTGAGCATCAAGGGCACAGGGTGTGCAGAAGCTTTCTGACCTGGAACCAGAGAGCGTGGCTTGGCCCCCAGCCCCCTGACGCCTCAGACTTCGGCCTCTCCCCTGCCTCCAGAATGCCCTGGACCTGGCCCCTTCCTCACTGGTGCTCCCCGCCGTGGACTGGTACGCAGTCAGCACTCTGACCACCTACCTTCAGGAGAAGCTTGGGGCCAGCCCCCTGCACGTGGACCTGGCCACCCTGCGGGAGCTGAAGCTCAATGCCAGCCTCCCCGCCCTGCTGCTCATCCGCCTACCCTACACGACCAGGTATGGCCTGGGAGGCCCAGCCCCCAGCCTTGGGGCCCAGAGAGGGATGAGACCCTGGGCTCTGGGTCTGGTGGCACAGGTCAACCAAACCCTCCCAGAAGGTGCCCTGTGTAACAAGCAGTGGTGGCAAGTGCCTCCTGCCAGGCTGTGACACACGAGGCCCTGAGCTAAGCCCGTGGGGCCTCTGGAGATGAGACAGACATGGGCCCTACTTGAGGAGCCCCTCCTGGCCTAGCCAAGGCCTGTTTTCAGAGCAGGTGGCAGGAGCTTGAACGTGACTGTGAGACATGGGAAGAAGGGGGACTGGATCCCAGGTAGGGGAGCTGAGGTAAAGCAAAGGTGTGGAACTGCGCCAGTCCACGGCATGGGTTCCAGGGCCCCTGCTGCAGTGCGCAGGCTATGAGCAGGGCCAGCTGCAGGGAGAAGCTGGAGGGGAAGTGGGAGGGCCGCAGGTAGGACTTGAGGGAGGCCCCCTGCAGGGCTCTGACTCTCTCTCTCTCTCTCTCTCTCTCTCTCTCTCTCCCTCTCCCCCTCTCTCTCTCCCTCCCATAGCTCTGGTCTGATGGCACCCAGGGAAGTCCTCACAGGCAATGGTGAGTGGGGGCAGGGAGGATGCACAGCCTCATCCCGCCCTTGGGCCAGCACGGCAAAGCGCTGAGTCGCGGCTCCTTGGCCCCTGCTGATGCCCGGAGTGGCCCACCTGCTTCCTGGAGCAGCTGACAACTGAGCAGGGACACACTGGCTCCCAGACCTGGCAGAGCTGGCAGAATGCTTAGGGACCCCCCGTGCTAGAGCCCAGAAAGCCAGCTTCTCCTGTTGTGAAAGAATGTCTACTTGTGTTTGAAAGGAAGAGAGACACAGGGTGAGACAGAGGTAGACAGAGAGAGAGGTCTCCCATCCACCAGCTCACTCTTCAAATGCCCAAAACAGCAGGGGCTGGGCCAGGCTGAAGCCAGGAGTCCAGAATTCGAGGTGGGTCTCCCACATGGGTTGCAGGGACTGAGGAGGACTTTTGTGTATGTCTGTATTTTCTCCTTTCACTCAGGTAGGGCTTGGCATTAGGGAGTTGAGGACAGAGGCCACTGTTGTTCTGGGGGAGCCGGGGAGAGGGGTGGGATGAGAAATGGCTGATCTTCGGGATCCTCAGTAGAGATGGAAGCCATGCTTCCAAGCGGTCTAGGAGGTTTGCAAAGCAGACAGTGGGGCTGTATCTCTAAATGTGACCCTGTTTTCTGCTTTCCCGTCACCCTTCAGATGAGGTCATCGGGCAGGTGCTAAGCACCCTCCAGTCTGAGGATGTCCCGTATACGGCAGCCCTCACGGCTGTCCGCCCTTCCAGGGTACGTGGCCCTCTGGCAGGAGGCCGCCTCTGAGCCCTGGGACTTGCCCACGGTGCACAGGGATGCCGGGTGGGGAGAGGAGGGAGGATGTGATGGTGGGTTGGGGCTTGTCCTGGGCCGTTGAGGAGCTTGTTGGGTGTTTCTGCAGGTGGCCCGTGATGTAGCCATGGTGGCTGGGGGACTAGGTCGCCAGCTGCTACAAAAACAGCCAGTGTCCACTGTGATCCACCCCCCTGTAAGTTACAATACCACTGTCCCCCGGATCCTGTTCTGGGCTCAGAACTTCTCTGTGGCCTACAAGGACCAGTGGGAAGACCTGACACCCCTCACCTTCGGGGTACAGGAGCTCAACCTGACTGGTTCCTTCTGGAGTGACTCCATTGCCTGGTAAGGGCACCGGGCTGGGGAGGACCATGCCACCAGATGTGCTTCCTGCTACTGAGGGTCAGAAGATGAGGGTGGGGAGGCGGGGTCTTGGTGGGTGTGGGCACCGTGCAGCTGCAGCTGGTCTCGTGAGGGGTTGCCCAGGAGGGGGGTGCCTCAGGGTTCTGCCTCCCCATGCTCCTTGGTTGGGCCCCAGTTGTTAACACCTCACAGTCGATCCTGGCTGCGCCCCTTGGCACCACCCCTAGGACTGCAAGTGGGCTCCCAGATCCTCCCATTTCCTGTCGTGCCCACAGCCCAACCCAAGCACCTCAGTGACCCTAAGAGGGGGCTGAAAGGAAGGCTGGTAGGCTCAGGGGAGCCAGAGGAAGGAGGTGGGGGGCTTCCTGACTCGGAATAGGACTGGAGTCTCCGTTTCCTCAGCTGTCGGGTGGGGAGGTAGCCTTGTGAGGCCCTGGGGCAGACCTGAGGAGCCTACCTCTCTGACTCTGGCCCCACAGGCTCTCATTGACCTACGACCATCTCTTTGGGACCACGGTGACATTCAAGTGAGTCCTGGGGACAGCTGAGGTACGGGGTGGGGGGCTGTTGTGCACGCAGGCCTCCCTGCTCGCCTCACACCGCTGCCGCCTCTGCCAGGTTCGTTCTGGCTAACCGCTTCTACCCAGTGTCTGCCCGGCACTGGTTTACCATGGAGCGCCTGGAAATCCACGGCAACGGCTCCGTCGTCTACTTCAACGCCTCCCAGGTCACGGGGCCCAGCATCTACTCCTTCCACTGCGAGTATGTCAGCAGTCTGGCCCAGGACGGCAGCCTCCTGGTGGCCCGCACGCAGCCCTCCCTGTGGCAGATGACTCTGCACGACTTCCAGGTTTGCAGCAGGGAGGGGCCCAGGCTGCCGGCCTGGGGGGCCTACAGAAAGCCTTAGCTTCACTGGGGCTCGGGCACGTGGTTGGGGTTCCGTTTCCTGCGCCGCCCTGGCCGTGGGATATGGGCTGTCTGCTGTGTCCCGGAGCCCAGCTCTTGTTGAGTCCCCCATCCGTGTGTAGCCACCTCATCCCTGATGACCTGTGTCTGTGTGTCCTCCAGATTCAGGCTTTCAACGTGAGCGGTGAGCAGTTCTCCTACGCCAGCGACTGTGCCGGCTTCTTCTCTCCGGGCATCTGGATGGGGCTGCTCACCTCCCTTTTCATGCTCTTCATCTTCACCTACGGCCTGCACATGATCCTCAGCCTCAAGACCATGGATCGCTTTGATGACCACAAGGGCCCTGCCATCTCTCTGACCCAGATCGTGTGACCCCGTGCCAGGGGGGAGGGGTTGTGGTTGTGATGGTGTCCAGGTTGTCATTTTCCCACCTTATGGTACATGGCACCCAAGGACCCCCTCTTGCTACCATAGCATGAACCCCCAGCTCCCCTCAGCCTGTCTCACTCCCTCATCAGCCTGCGGAGGGGCTTCCCCGAGGCTTCTCCCAGCCCTCCTGACAAGGTGTAGATATTCTGCATAGATTTTAGGCCTGTCTCCCGGGTCAGCCATGGGAAAGCACAGGGGCATTAGTTCTAGGGTCCCCTTTCTCCTCCCCTTATTTATTCTTCTCTATCTACCATAAGCTCTGGCTGTACATAGCGCTTTTGTGTAGCAAGTTCTCCCTCCCCCAGCTTTATGGGGCTCCCTACAGCAGCCAAGAGCTTCAGGTTGCCCGAGGTTGGCAGAATGTGGAAGTGACCACTTCTGTGTCCCGCTTGGCTGTCGTTGTTGTATCCTGGTGATGTTGTGTTAACAATCAACACTGTGCTGGGGTTTATTTCTGTGACTTCAGGAGGAAGGAACCTCCATGACAGGTGGGCTGGGCGTGACCACTGTGTTTCAGGAGCGCCTGGCAGGAGCCTGGCATGCTCCATTGTCTCCTTCCTAATAAAATAAAGATGGGTCGCCACACGTTGGGCCTCTTGTCATTCGTTTCTGGACTAGAAATGAGGAAAGCGTTGGACTGAGGGATGGGAGGAGGGCAGGAGGGCGGGCGGGTGCGGGGAGGGGGGGAGGTGGCCCTAGATGTATCCCAGCCAGGCCAAAATCCAGGAGCCAGGGCCCGCCAGGGACTCTTTTAGCAAACTGGGCCCCTAACCGGTTAAGGTAGGGAAGGAGTGGTCGGGACAGCGGTCGCCGCGACAATGGCAGCTTCAGCGTCGTGAGGGGGCCGCCCCCGGCTGCTGCAGCAGCGCGTGCCCGGCCCGCGGGGCCGCGCGGAGCCTCCCGGGGGGCGGGGCGGGGCGGGGCGCGCGCGGCTCCCGCGCACGGATCCCTCTCGGACCGCAGTACCGGTCATCGGACCGCCCCGCCTAGCTTCCTCTGGGTCCTTGGCAAACGGCGACGCCGGCAGAGCCGCACTGGTGCTAGGGCCCGAGTACCGGCAACCCTCTTAGGAGGCAAGCCAGGGAAGCGGTGATCACTGCTAGGCGTGGTGGGGCCTGGGGAAGTGTTGGGACTTTTTGACGCGGCGGAGGGGTCAGGCGGCGTTCGAAGTGCCGCCATCTTTGGTCCAGTGCGGCGGCGGCGGCGGCGGCGGCTGCTGCTGTGGTGAAACGGGAGGAGGAGCCGAGCGGGCGCTGGTACCAAGGCCTGACCATGGACGAGGAATACGATGTGATCGTGCTGGGGACCGGCCTCACCGTAAGTGTGGCCTCGGGCGCCTGCGCCTCCGCTTCGTGCCTTCCCGAATCCCTGCGATGATGCAGCCGCTGGCCGCCAAACCCATCCTCCCATCATTCCTATCCTCTGCCCTTGGGTCCCCGAAACGCCAGCCCCGTACCCACCCCACTGCCTTCTCTTTCCCCACTCCCCAGCCCCCTTGGCCTCGCGACGTCTTCTCTGCTCGCTGCCATGACCTCGAAGCGGGGTCTCCTGGCTGCTCCCTTGACTCCCTGGTGCCGACTCCCGGCCTCTCCCATCTTCCCTACCCTGCCCTGCTGGGCCGGAAAACGTATCCCCCACTCGGCCTGATGCCCCCCAGTCCCTCCCATCCAGTCCCCACCCATCGCCCCCACCCATCACCTTCCTAGTATTGTGCCCCCCCAACTTATACTAATCTTAGTAGGGGTGAAGTACGAGGACCTGGGGTTAGGGGGCCTTGCCAGGTTGGGGCCTCGTCCTGTGTTCCTGGCTGCTTCTGGGATCAGAAGAGCCAGGGAATGTTCCAGAATAACTAACAGCGAGGGCAGTGACCACATTCCCGCTCCCCCACCCTGGTTTCCCATGGAGACCTGAGGCTGAGCAATATCTGCAGCCTTTGTCCTTGGGCTGGTGACAGTGACTAGGGAGAATGTTCATCGTCCCCCTTCCCCCACAGCGTGTTCACCCGCTCCCCTGAGAGACACATTTCCCTCAGGCCAGGCCCAGATGCCCCTCCTGAGCCCAGGTGGGGAAGGCTTAGGGTCAGGGGCTCCTGGCCTTTGACGACGGAGCAGCCGAGGGTGGGGCCTGAGAGTCCAAGTGCCTTTCTTCACTTCCCTTTTGGGCGCCCTCTGCGGCCTGGCCAGGTCCGCTGTGTGCCTCATTGTGTCTTATCTGCCGGATTGTGCGGCTCTGCACTGATAGAGGACTTTCTTGGCAGTCGGTGCCATGAGACTGTCCTTGTGTCTGCTGGACACTCTGTCTCCCCCGACTCCTTCATTATTTCTCTCTGGTTCACCTCTGCTTAGCAGGGTAAAAAAGGAGACGGGCGGATGTAGCCATCGCCACCAGTGTTAGGCAAGGCGGCGGCGGCGGAGGCTGGGGGCGTGGAAGGAGCTGTCCATTGTGGCAGGCTTGGGGAGGAGAACAGATCAGGGCTGCTGGTGCGAAGTGGGCAGGTGGGAGCGCACCGGCTGTCCTCACACCCCTAGGAGTGCATCCTGTCTGGTATCATGTCTGTGAACGGGAAGAAGGTGCTGCACATGGACCGGAACCCCTACTATGGGGGCGAGAGCTCCTCCATCACTCCCCTGGAAGAGGTAAGGCTGCCAGCCTGGCCCAGGCCGGGCCCTTGGAAACCTCTCACTGGAGCCATAGTGTAGCAGCAGCGGGTGGCAGGGAGAGGGAGGGCCAGTCCTTGAGGTGTCTCTCTCTCTCCCCCTCCTGCTTACAGTTATATAAGCGTTTTCAGCTGCTGGAGGGGCCCCCTGAGTCGATGGGCCGGGGCCGAGACTGGAACGTTGACCTGATCCCCAAATTCCTCATGGCCAATGGTGAGGGAGATGGAGGAGCTGCTGCGGTTTTCCTAGGGGCGCGGTGGTGACTGGGAAGGACCGGAGGGGGTTGGGCTCCAGACAAGGGCCCGCCAGGCTGGCCAGAGCTCCTGCAGGGAGCTGTGCTGATGTTGTCCCCACCACAGGGCAGCTGGTAAAGATGCTCCTGTATACGGAGGTGACTCGCTACCTGGACTTCAAGGTGGTGGAGGGCAGCTTTGTCTACAAAGGCGGCAAGATCTACAAAGTGCCATCCACTGAGACCGAGGCCTTGGCTTCCAGTGAGTGTGGGTCTCCCGACCTCAGGGCGGGTGGCAAGGTAGACACCGGGAGCCGGCCACTGTACGCCCGAGGCTGCATCCCCTGTGAGGTAGCAGATGGCCCTTGCTCTGTTCCTGCTGCTGCCATGTGCCTCACCTCACAGCGGCTTGCTAGCAGGGCGATCCGCGTGCAGAGAGGAGTGGAGGGTGCTCCTTTTCGGAAGCCTGTGACAGGGGCTCCGCTTGAGCCCTGGAACATCTCTAAGTGTCGGAGCCAAGAGGGCCTTCAGAGTGTGCCCGGCCCAACCCCCTCTTCACATGGGTGGGGAAACCGAGGCCGAGACAGGTAGATTACGCTAAGGTCATGTGACAGACCTCACTGGGAGCCGGGATGCCAGCTTTCTCGGCCAGCCCACGGGGGTGGGGTTGGGGGGGGGCGGGAAGGAGAATTTTGTATTCTAGTGCAAAGGGTCCCCCCTTGCCGCCTTCTTCAGATCTGATGGGCATGTTTGAGAAACGGCGCTTCCGCAAGTTCCTGGTGTTTGTGGCAAACTTTGATGAGAATGACCCCAAGACCTTTGAGGGCGTCGATCCCCAGACTACCAGCATGCGTGACGTATACCGGAAGTTTGACCTGGGCCAGGATGTCATTGATTTCACTGGCCACGCGCTGGCACTCTACCGCACTGATGAGTGAGGGGAAGCTGGTGTGGCGCGGTCCCCTTGCCTGGCCTTTACCCTGCCTCCCCAACACCTGCCCACTGCTCCCTCTGCCTACCCTGCACATTTCTCGTACTCAGCCATAGGCTCCCCTGTTGCCTGTCCGCCCCTCCCCTGCACTTGACCCCCCGGCTCCCCTGGGCCATTCGGGGTGGTGGGGTGAGCCAGGGAGCCTGTTGGAGCATCTTCCCTGACCTCTGTCCCCCCAGCTACCTGGACCAGCCCTGTCTGGAGACCATTAACCGTATCAAGTTGTACAGTGAGTCCCTGGCCCGGTATGGCAAGAGCCCATACTTATACCCACTCTACGGCCTGGGCGAGCTGCCCCAGGGCTTTGCAAGGTGAGAACGTGGCTTTGTGTAGTTGGGATGACTAAGTGGGACTGAGAGCAACAATAGCAATGCCTCCCTTGGGGATTTCCACAGCATTTCCTACTCTGACATCTGAGATGGGGACACAGCCCCAGCACAAAGCCCTGGGAGGCAGACTCAGGAACCTTGAGTCTGCGCTTAGTGGGGAGCTGGACTTTGTTCTGGTCCCTCAGGCTCCTCTTTCTGTGTGGCGCTGGTCCTTCAGGCCACCCTCACACTAGCCCTTTGCAGGATATTCTAGGCATGGAGTTCCAAAGACCACAGTAAGATGGGATGTGACGTTTTTAAAAGATTTATTTATTCCAAAGGCATATATATATATATATATATATATAGAGAGAGAGAGAGAGAGAGAGAGAGAGAGATAGATATCTTCCATCCTCTGGTTCACTCCCCAGATGGTCACATGCCCAAGGCTGGGCCAGGCCAAAGCCAGTAGCCAGGACTTTGTTCCAGGTCTCCCATGAAGGTTCAAGGGCCCAAGCACTTGAGCCATCTCCTGCTGCTTTCTCAGGCCATTAGCAGGGATCAGAGGTGGAGCAGCCAGGACTTGAACTGGCACCCATATGGGGTGCTGGTGTCACAGGTGGTGGCTTTACCCGCTACCCCACAGTGCTGGCCGGGATAAACTGCCGAGGGTCCTGACACCGCCTGCCTGGGGAAGCCTCCTCTATACCTCAGTGGTGGCAGGGCACGGTGCAGGAGACTTGGTCCCCATTTCTCCTGGGAGGGGCACTTGAGCTTCTCTCCCCTTCCCACAGATTGAGCGCCATCTACGGGGGCACATACATGCTGAACAAACCTGTGGACGACATCATCATGGAGAATGGCAAGGTTGTGGGTGTGAAGTCTGAGGGAGAGGTAAGCCTTCCCCAGGCCATGGGGCCATCGTGGTTAGGGCGGGGCTCGCCTACCTCCTCTGCTGCCAGGTCTGCTGCACACCTCAGCCCCAGGGCTTTAGAGCTGAGAACTGGGGGTCCAGAAGCCATTCCTGTTGGCGGGAGGTCCCCTTCAGAGGTGGTGTACTGGGGCCAGTGCTGTGGCGCAGCAGGTTAAACCACTGGCTGCAACGTCGGCATCCCCTATGAGCACTGGTTCCAGTCCCAGCTGCTCCACTTCCGAGCCACCTCCATACTAATAGCTTGGGAAAGCAGTGGAAGATGGTCCAAGTGCTTGGGCTCCTGCTCCCACGTGGGAGAGCTACATGGAGTTGCAGGCTCCTAGTTTAGATCTGGCCCAGCCCTGGCTGTTGTCATTTGGGGAGGGAACCAGGAGATGGAAGATGTGTGTGTGTGTGTGTGTGTGTGTTTCCTTCTGTCACTATGTCTTTCAAATAAACAAATCTTTAAAAGAAAAACCAAAAAAACAAAAGCCACAAAGATCACGAGCTGTGTGTAGTGCAGAAAGCACTGTTGATCACAGTGTGCCTGCAGCCGGGGCTCACCCCATTTCTGGACTCACCTGCCTGCCCTGCCGGCTGTGGCTGTGCGTTCCAGGAGAGTGGAGCCTCTGCCTGCTGCCTGGCCTCGTGCGTGGGCTCAGCCCCACGAGGTTTTAGGGCAGGGATCGGACAGAGGTAAAGCCCTCCGATGCCTTCACAGGTGGCCCGCTGCAAGCAGCTGATCTGTGATCCCAGCTACATCCCAGACCGCGTCCGGAAGGCTGGCCAGGTTATCCGCATCATCTGTATCCTCAGCCACCCCATCAAGAACACCAACGATGCCAATTCCTGCCAAATCATCATCCCCCAGAACCAGGTCAACAGGAAGTCAGGTAGGCCGGGGCACACGTGACGTCCTCCTGGGTGTTCTCTGTGGGCTTGCTCCGTCTCTCCCTGTCAGCCTTGGGGCTCCCCACCTGATCCCTCCACAGCAGAAATGAGAGCCGCGTGACAGTCCCCACGACTTGGGGCCCCAGGGATTGGGTGGCTTGGACTCTTTCTCCTTGGGAGGGTGACAGCCAGGATGCTGCCCATTGTGTGGGGCGGGGTGATTGGATCAGGTGGGCCAGGATCCCATGCAGCCCCTAGGCGCCTTCTCTTTGCATGGTGTTCACTCTGGCCCGTGCTAACTGAGCACTTCCCGCGGCCAGACATCTACGTGTGCATGATCTCCTACGCACACAACGTGGCTGCGCAGGGCAAGTACATCGCCATTGCCAGCACCACAGTGGAGACTGCGGAGCCGGAAAAGGAGGTTGAGCCAGCTCTGGAGCTGCTGGAGCCTATTGACCAGAAGTAAGGGGTTGCACGGAGCCCGAGGGGGTGGGGAGGACCAGGAAGGGCGGGGCCTGTTGCGAGGCTTGTCTCTGCCTCTCAGGTTTGTGGCTATCAGTGACTTGTACGAGCCCATTGATGATGGTTCTGAGAGCCAGGTAAGTGCCTGTCCCAGCCCCAAGTCCCGGCCGCCCACCCGGCCGCCCTGCCCAACTCACCTGAGGCCCTGGGCTCTGGCTGTTGCCAGGTTTTCTGTTCCTGCTCCTACGATGCCACCACACACTTTGAGACAACCTGCAATGACATCAAGGACATCTACAAGCGCATGGCTGGCTCAGCCTTTGACTTTGAGAACATGAAGCGCAAACAGAACGACGTCTTTGGAGAAGCTGACCAGTGACTGCTGCCCCTGCTGCCCCCGCCGCCCCTCCTGCGTCCTGCAGGGCCAGGGAGATGTGCGGCAGCACCCCTGTTTCCAGCATCTCTGCTTCCCCCACCACATTCCTACTACCCACCTCATTGATTCACTGACCAAATCCTTAACCTTAGCGATGGTTTGGGAGATGGGGGGTTGGATAGCATCTCTTCCTTGGCCCTTCCTTATCCTAGGAAAAGACGGTTCCTTTCTTCGTGCGTGTCTCTTCCCCTCGCCCCTAATTCTTCTGCTCTGTCTGGGAAGAACATGGAGGAAAAGCTGGCTTCTGCCCCCACCGCTCTTACTCCTACTGTAGTGGCCTTTGGAGATGCCCCCTGCCTCCCCCCACCAACTCTCGTGTGTTGGAAAGAAGGGGCCCTCCCAGCACAAAATTGCATTCCTTTTCCCCGTAATTTATTCTAATTTATTAACTGCAGCCCACCCCACCTGAGCCTGCATCCTCCTAGAGCAACCTGGGGGCTGTCCAGTGAACTCTCCCAGCCCCTCCCAGTCCTGGCCTAGCCTGGGCAGCCGGGAAGGCTTAGGTGTGGCCCTGGTGGAGTTTGATCTTCTGTTTTGGTTTCTTGTCTGTGTTTGCATTCTCTGGTACTTGAGAGAGAGAAGAAATGAGAGCAAAGCAGAAGGAGGTGGGAAAATGGATCCCGACCCCATGTGCCCTGCCCCACCCCTTTCCTTTAGTGGTGGGAAACCCTTACTTACCTTGCGAAGTGAATGTGTCCCCTTCCCCAACCTCTAGTGTATTTCACGGAAAACAAAGCCTCCCAATAAAACCGTGTTGAAACCTGTGCCTGCGTCTGTAGTTCTTGGCAGGGCCTTGGCTCCCTGCGTTGGGGTCTGACTCTGGAAGCTGACATTCTTCATCAGGGCGTTTCAGAGGAGGCTGACATGCAACTGATCTGCCCAGGGCCCTCCAGGGAGTTAGTGCTGGCACCAGGACTGCCACCTTCAGGCCTGGTGAGGGAGAGAACTCGGGCCCCGCTTTGGATGGGAATCAAAAGTCCCAGGTAGGGTAGCAGGGATGCCAGTCTCCAGATCAATGGCCAATTAGGTGAGGGGGAGCGTGTACAACCAAGGCCTCACGTCAGGCAGGGAGGAGGCAGGAGGACTAGGGGTTATGTCCTTGGGTAGAGGTCCACAGCAAGCAGGTGGAGGAAATAGGGTGACCAGGGGGTTCCAACGTGGAGTCAGGGTTAATAAGCAAGCGCAGGAAGCCGGGGCCCCCAACCTCCAGGCCAATGAGGCATGGGAGTCAAGGCTGGGAACCGGCCTAGCCCCGGAAAGCGGGGCGGGG